CCGCGCGCGCGCGAGGGGGGCCCCAGGGCCGCGGGCCTGAGGGAAAGGGGCTCAGGAGCAGGAGGAAAGAGGAGCAGGAGCAGGCTCAGTCGTTAGTCGTGAGGCTGATCAGGGCGAGGGGAGCGCGGGGCACGGCAGACCTCCCCGAGGGAGCGCCGACCGCGGTGTTCGAGGACAGGATCGCCCAGTTCGCGCGCACGGAGCTCACGGGCATCGTCCTCAGCCAGGAGTTCCTGTGGCTCCGGGGCGACCAGGTGAAGGCTTGCCGCCTCGTTGCTCGGTCTTTGTCCTCCTCCTCCTCCTCCGCCTCCCGCCTTCCTCCCCTCCGCGCCCCCTCCGGCTTCGCCTTCCCCCCCCTCCTCCTCCTCCTCCTCCTCCTCCGTCTCCCCTCCTCCTCCTCCCCTCCTCCTCCTCCCTCCTCCTCCTCCTCCTCCTCCTCCTCCTCCTCCTCCTCCTCCCTCCTCCTCCCTCCTCCTCCTCCTCCTCCTCTCCTCCTCCTCCTCCTCCTCCTCCTCCTCCTCCTCCTCCCTCCTCATCCTTCTGAGGGATCCCCTAGCCAGGGCCTCGGCTCTCGTCGGCCAGCTCACCTCCACCTGGAGGCAGGCCCGCGAAAGAAGAGAGAGCAGGGGGTGCCGAACCCCTCCCCCTCCCACCCCCCCCCTTTCCCAGACCCCCGACATCATGAATTTTTCATGACGTCGACCCCCAGCGGTCTGGACCCATTCCCCGGGACCGGTTTTTCGTCCTGAGTCGTTTTTTGACGCTCCCGAGGGCCGGTAAGGGCCCCCAGAGGCCAAAAATAATCAAAAACCTCCCGTCGTGATTTTTTAATGACTCGAGGGGGTCTGGGTTTGCGCGTGGCTGAGATCTTCGGGCCGTGCAGAACCCGGGTCTCCAGCGGTCGCTCGGGGGTGACCCGGGCGCCCCCAGCGCGCCCTCAGCGCGGCGCAGCTGCTGGAACGCACCTCCTCCTCCTCCTCCTCCTCCTCCTCCTCCTCCTCCTCCTCGTCCTCGTCCTCGTCCTCCTCCTCCTCCTCCTCCTCCTCCTCCTCCTCCTCCTCCTCCTCCATCATCATCATCATCATGACATATTCATCCTCATCATCATCATCATCTCATCCCCTCCTCCTCCTCCTCCTCCTTCCTCCTCTCCCCCTCCTCCTCCTCCTTCCTTCCTCCTCCCTCCTCCCCCTACTCCTCCTCATCCTCCTCCTCCTCCTTCCTCCTCCTTCCCCCTCCTCCTCCTCCTCCTCCTCCTCCTCCCCCTCTCGGCATCTTCTGAACGATCCCCATCGCCACTGGGCCACGGCATCTCAGTCGCACCAGGTCACCCGCCCGGGTGGACACAGGTCCCGCGAAGCCCGAGTAGAGCAGCATACGGCCGAGACGCCGGAACAAGGACTTCGCCCAGGAGGGGTTCTGGTTTTCCGGCAGTTCCTTGGGTCTGGGTCGGGGAACCTACTCCGTGGCCGAGGCCAGTCGTGGCCAGGAGCGCCCCTGGAAGTCCTTACGCAGCTCTCCCTCTCTGTCGTGGTTCGATGACCGTATCTCCTCATCTGGGGGGGCCAGTCGGCCAGGGAGGCCAGAGCCGTGCGGGAGGGCATGGGGATCGGCTGAACGGTCCTCCTCCAGCCCAGTTCCTCGCTTGCTCGCTCGCTCGCTTGCTCCCTCTCCCCAAATGCCTTCGCGCTCCACCATCCTGCTCTTCCTCCTCTTCATCCTTCCTCCTCCTCCTCCTCCTCCTCATCCTCCTTCTCCTCCTCCTCCTCGTCCTCCTCCTCCCTTCTCCTCCTCCTCGTCCTCCTCCTCTCCTCCTCCTCATCACCTCATCATCATCATCATCTCATCCCCTCTTCTTCCTCCTCCCCCTCCTTCTCCCTCTTCTTCCTCCTCCTCCTCCTTCCTCCTCCTTCCTCCTCCTCCTCCTCTTCCTCCTCCTCCTCCTCCTCCTCCTTCCCCCCTTAGTTCGAGTGTGTGGTTCCCCGAGGCCTCATTGATGATATGTCGTTTTAGTGGATAGGACGCCTGGCCAAGGACGCTGGGGTCGTTGTTTTTATGCGATCACGGGTTTCGCCAGCTATACCCGCCAGCTAGGTTTCCTGTTGCAGGTCTCCAAGTCTGGTTATCTTGCGTCTTCGACGGCAGCAGTTCGTGCTGTGAAGTCGAGAGCGGCCAGGCTGAAGCTCCAGGCATTTCGGGCCGCGCGAAATCTTGGCCACGACACATTTGCTGGAGGCACCGCCCACAGAGCCCTTGAGAAGAAGAGGTTGGGGGCGGTAATTGGGAGGCGGGGCCGGCTTCGCGCCCTTAAGAGGGTTGGGGGTCTGCAGGTCAGGGTTCTGTGGCGCAGGGGGGTTTTGCCGTCGGGTAGCCATGGGGCTGGTGTAGTTGGCCTCACGGATTCCACTCTCATGAAACTCAGTTCTTTTGCAGGGGAGTTGGTAGGCGCTAGGCGTGGCCTGGCCTCCCTCACAGTTTACACGTGCACGCAGAAGGACAGGCTGTATGATCCCACTTTTGACGCCACATGCCCCCTGGTCGCCAGGTATGCGTGTTGGCTCTGGGATGGTAGGACTTCCCCTAGTATGCTGAGGATGACTTGGAGCACAATCCAGGATAAGCTCGGAGCCCAGGGTACCTGGAGGCAATGCTTTGGGCCGATTTCTGCGGTGTTCCTCTCCCTTCGCAGGATTGGGTGGAACATGGCCACTCCCCGCCTTCTCACCTCCGACCTCGGAGACCATATTTCGCTGTATGAATATTCGCCGAGCGAGGTCCGCAATTTGTTGCGCGATGGTGTGGAGCGTTGGCTCTGGCGCAGGGTCCCCTTCCACTGGCCAGAAGCGTCGGGCTCCGAGTACTGTTGGGCTCGAGCGATGCGCCTTGCGATTCTGGCCCTCCCCGCGGGTGCCCGGCAGGGGTCGCTCCGCGCGCTCTGGTCTGGAGGATTGTGGCCACCAGCCCGCAAGCATGCGGAAGGGTTGGCCCCGTCCGCTGCTTGCACTTTCTGCCAGGCCCCCCAGGGCACACTGGGCCACCAACTTTACGATTGCTCAAGTGCCTTCGTGTCTGGGGAGGAGGATGCGGGCAGCTTAGGTTTTCCCCGAAGATGTTTGGGAGCGTAGGCAGGCCTTGCGGGAGAAAGGGTACGATTTCAACGTCGGTCCTCCTGATTGGGATCGCGTTCCTCTCCTCTACGGGCTCCCCTCGCTCCCCATCCAATTGCCCCCTCCCTTGGCTCGTCCGCCAGTCCTTGGGGTAGGTATAGGTTCACTGACGGGTCGGGGCTGCACAGTGCGATTCCCGAAGCCACTCGATGTGGCTGGAGCGTGGTCGAGATCTCCGAGGACGGCTGGCCCTTGAGGGCCAGGTTTGGCGGGCTCCCAGGGCGCTTCCAGTCGGTCCCGCGGTCCGAAAGGTGGGCTGGGCTCGATGCTGTTTCCTTGGGGCCTGCTGGAGACAAGCCTCCCGTCATCATTAGTGATCACCTTTCGTTTGTGCACGATGGGCAAGGTTGGGATCCCAACCTGGAGCATGGCCTTGCCCCGCACGCGTCAATTTGGCGCAACATGTTTCGTGCTTGTGCTCGCTATGATATGCGCCCCGAATTCCACTGGACTCCTACGCACCTCCGTTTGCAGGGGTTGATCGATCAAGGAGCGTGTGCCGGAGAAATTTGGAGGCTCATGGGTAATGCATAGGCGGATTTTTTCGCCAAGCTTGGAGCCCTTGATGTTGCCGTTGCCGACGTTGCGGCCACGTCCCTCCTGGAGGCCATTAAAGAGTGCAAGTTGTCATGCCAGTTTCTGGCCCGAGCGGTTCAGATTATTCGTGCTCGGCCAGATGTTTCTGGTGCTGCCCCAGCCCCTCCACGGCCGCCCAAGGAGGCAAGGCCGAGGCTGGTAATTGTCGCTCACGATACCGTGCCCCTGGCTCCGGGATCCTCGGCGTTGCAGTGCAGGCAATGTTTGGCGGTTGCTCGGACTCCAGCCGGTGCCAGGTCGTTGCACAAGCCAGGGGCTAAGTGTGAGCCTGGGCCGATGCTGCGCCAGCTTGCTGCTCTTGCCGAGCGGCTCGGTTGGCGCCAGCATGCCGAGGGGGTGGGTGAGGCTGCCTATGCCGCTGCTGCTGCCAGTTTGGGTGCGGAGGCGGGTGGGAGTCTTCTCGTGTGCGACGGGCACCATATTCACAGGGCAGGGTCCCTCCTTTTCTGTGGGCTTTGCGGGGCCCGAGTTGCCCTGGGCTCGGCCAAGATCGAGGCCCTCGGTGAGCCCTGCCCCACGAAGCTCCCTAACCCTGCCCGCCGGCGAGCCAGGGACTGGCTCTCGGAAGGCAGGCACCCAGCAACTGGGATCAGGCTCGTCCAGTCTAATCCGTAAGTTGCTTGGTTTTCCTTGAGGGCTGGTGTTTTATCACCCTCGCCCAGTATTATATAGTCGTCGTTGCGCTTTCGGATGCTTCGCCGTTCTATGCTGCGTCCTGCGTCCCCCTCCTCCTCCTCCTCCTTCCTCCTCCTCCTCCTCCTCCTCCTCCTCTTCCTCCTCCTCCTCCTCCCCCTCCTCCTCCTCTTCCTCCTCCTCCTCCTCCTCCTCCTCCTCCTCCTCCCCTTCTTCCTCCTCCTCCTCCCCCTCCCCCTCCCCTCTCCGCCCTCCTCTCTCCCTCTCCGCGGGCTCCTTGTCGCCCGCCGCTCCTCCAGCCGCCAAGCCCCCCTGCCCCTCCTGGCGGGACCGCGCTTCACCTCGGCACCCGGGGTACCCAGGCGGTCATCCTCGGGCGGGGTTAGGACGAGGGTTCCGGAGGCGGCGGCGGAGGAGGAGGAGGAGGAGGAGGGGGAGGAGGAGGCGGGCGGGGCTAGGACGAGGATAACTCTGGTCCAGAGGGTTCCAGACCGCTCCGAGAAGGCCGCAGCGCTCGAGACACCCCGCAGACCCCCCAGATCTCAGAGACTCTCGATTCATCCTGGTCCTGGCTTCGTCTGACATCCTCTCCCTCCTGCGAAGGCCTCCTTCTTGTCCTTCACAGTCGACGTGCACGAGTTCTCCGCCACCGAGACCGCCATGCACAACGCCGCCCTGTGGGACAAGCACCTCGTGGAGTACAACAGCGGTGCTCGAAGATGAGAAACAAAAGGGCAGACACATAAATGTTCGGAGCTCGGCGCGGAGTTCTTGGATCTGCGCTGGAAGCCCCTAACCCCTGGCGGCGCCTGCGGCGCCGCCCCTGGCGCGCTCCGCGCGCCAGGAAAGGGGATGCATGGCAGATTCAAGAACTCCGCGTGGTGCTCCAGACTTTTATGCTTGTGTGGCCGTTTCTTCCTGTATAGGTGCCTCCAGGTTTGCGAACGGGGCGTTCCAGACCGCCGGTCTGTGGGTGCGGGCGGAGGCCCAGCAGGAGCTCATCTTCAGCACGGTGCTGACCTTCGGTCTCGTCATCCTCTTTGCGCTGCTGGGCATGCTCGTCTTCACCAGGGACTGGTGAGGGGCGGGGTGGGCGGGGGAGGAGGAGGAGCACGAGGACCTGGTGAAGGGGCGGGGTGGGCGGCGGGAGTTTGAGGTGAAGGGGCGGGGTGGGCGGCGGGGGTGGCGGGGGCGGGGGAGTATGAGGTGACCTTGTGAAAACGGTTTGGGAGGGGGTTTGAGGAGTCCCAGCAGAGAGGAGGAGGAGGAGGAGGAGGATGAGGAGGAGGAGGAGGAGGATGAGGAGGAGGAGGATGAGGAGGAGGAAAAAGAGGACGACGACGAGAGGGGAATGAGGAGTATGAGGAGGGAAGTGGAGAGACGCCCTCCTGCCCCAGCTTCTTCTCCAGCTCCAGCTCTGGGTCCCCTCTTCCTTTTCCTCACCTCTGTCGTCCTCCAACCCAGGGCTTCGCGCTGCAAGACCACGCAGCTCGGCCAGCAACGCCGCCACCTGGGACCTGTCCAGTTGGCCTCCCTCAGGGAATGACAGGCGGGGTGGTGGTGTTTGTATAGGTTTTTGCGGAGCAGGAGAAAATGAGGAGGAGGTGACCTGGACGCGACTAGGATTCCAGAGAAGCATGAGTAGGGACAAGAGCAACAGCATCGCTTGGATCCCACTGAGGTTCTCTAGCATGGCTTTCGCGCTCATCCCATGTACGACCCGACGTTGAAGGAGTGGTACCCGTCACCCTCGCGCTTCCATGTTTCCCCCGAGTCTGTTTGAGCGCGTGTTAGGCTTGCCTTTCCTGTTCGCAGACCTGGGATCGCAGTGTGTGTGTGTGTGTGTGTGGACCTGGTCAGCATTGCCGGCGCAGTGCGCTGGCTCAGGCCCTTTCTCTGACCATGCCGCATGTCTTCCTAGCGGCCAGGCTAAGACTTATGCAGGATGCAGTGATAAGAGAATTCTCGTCGCCCTACAACTCTGCCAGGTCCTCGCGGCCACGGGAGAGCGAGGCATTCCCGTGATGCGCTTGTTGGCAGGCCGTTCCGTAGTTTTTGGTGCGTGTTTGTTGCATGCGGATTTGCCTCGCCGAGCCGGAGCAAAAAGCGTGAATTGCCACTGTCACCTGGCCCCCGAGGGCAGATGCCAGAGCTCCCGCCGAGGTCGGGCGGGGACCCATCCCCAGACGGATCCTCGGCGAAAGAATCAGAGGAGGATGAAGGGTGGGACGAGGAGGAAGAGGAGGAGGAGGAGGAGGAGGAGGAAGCGGGTTGGGACGAGGAGCAGGAGGAGGTGGAGGAGGAGGAGGAGGAGGAAGCAAAGGATGACGACACAGGGCGGGTCGTCAGGTGCCTCTCGCTGATGGTCGTGGCGTCCACGTGCATGGTCGTGAACGGCCTGGCCTTCTTCATGGTGGTGGTGCTGGGCTGGGCCATCGGCCCGATCGAGGTCATCTCGCTGATCGTCTTCATCGGCTACGGGGTCACATACTCGCTCCACATCGCCCACAGGCCGCCCCCCCTCTCGCCACCTCCGCCCTCGCCCTCGCCCTGCTCTTCCTCCTCCTCCTTGTCCTCCTCTTCCTCCCTCTTCCTCCCCCTCCCCCATCCTCCTCCTCCTTCTCCTCCTCCTCCTCCCCCTCCTCGTCCTCCTCCTCCTCCTCGCCCTGCCCCCGCTCTCTCCCTCCTCCGCCCGACGGGCATCAGCAGGGACGCAAGGCATGGAGAATTGCGGCGGGGGAAGGGGGAAGAGTGGCAGCAGCCGCAGGAGCAGAAGGGCAGGAGGAGGAGTAGGAGATGGATTTGGGCCGAGGAATTGGCCAGCGAGACGGCTCGTCGACCCCTTCCCCTCCTCCTCCTCCTCCTCCTCCTCCTCCTCCTCCTCCTCCTCCTCCTCCTTCCTCTCTTGACGCATCCCCATGCCCCCCCGATACGATACTCAATCTGAATGGCTACTAGCTTCCCCTCTCCCCAGGTGTTACGAGATCGGGGCATCACCTCTCTCGCGTGTTGGTTTATTACACGCAGAACACCAGCTGCTGACATGTTGTATGGGCTCCTTCCACTCGGAGCGCATTTTGTGTTTCAGTTGTTCGAACATGGTGCGTTCGCTACACCGTGGGCGCCTTTTCAGGATCGGATCTTTGCTCTCGTCGTGCAGAATTGCGCTCTCCCCCTTGCGCGGGCCACATAGCTGGATCTGCTTAGTTCCTCGTCGTGGTCGCGTCCCTCCTTTCCTCCCCTCTGTCTTCCCCTGGTGGCCCTGCTCCTCATCTCCTCCATCCCGCTCCTCCTGCGCCTGCTCCTGCTCCTCCTGCTCCTCCTCCTCCTCCTGCTCCTCCTCCTCCTCCACTGCACGCAACCCTCCACGGTGGGCTCGCCTGGGCGGATCCAGGTCCGCTTGGACGTCCGTCGGTGGACAGAGAAGAAACCTTGGTATCGCTCGGACGTGTGCACTTTTTCTCGGCGGGGGTTATTAAAGAGTATCCTGGGTCTTCCTGCGAAAAAAATACGCACGAAACCGAAAAAAACCAGGGAATGGACGTCCGAGCGATGGCCAGAAGCAGCGCAGTGGCAAGGGATAGGTGGGGGGGGACAAGATGCACGACATGACGCGCGCGCGCGCACCTGGCTTCTGTTCTCCGCGCCACGTCCAAGCATCTGGCCAGACCCCCAGTCTGAGGGGACGGCTCGAGGTGTTCGAACCAGACCGCCACGCTTCCCCCGCCTTTCCCCTCCTCCGTCTCCCCCTCCCCATCCTCCCTCTCCTCCCTCTCCTCCCCTTCACACTGAGTACTACTCTCCTCTCTCCCCTGGCGACGTCCGGAATATATTCGGCCCCCTTCCGCGGAAATGTTTTTTACAAAGCATTCCCGGGAATTGGGTTTTCGCTTGGACTTTGTTTCAAAATGTTGCTCCTACTGAAGCGCTGACCTTATTGTCGGCGTTCCGCTCGTTCCGAATCGTGCTTTCGCTGCAGCGCTGGCCTCATTTCCGCGCTTTGCTCGTTCCGAATCGCACTCCAGCTGCAGCGTTGGCCTCATTTCCTGGTTTTCATATGTGTTTTGGGGGATCCGATGTTTGCCGGTTCTTGAAAATGTTGCTCCCGCTGCATCGTTGGTCCCATTTCTGCGCCTCTGGTTGCTCCAAGACGTGCTCCCGCTGCAGCGCGGGCGTTTTGGGGTCCTTCCACATAGATTCCACATCTAGAAAATTACCCCCACAACAAAACATCGCAAGTGATTCCACATCCGGCGTCGATTCGTTGAGTTTCTGGGCCGCAGAAAGCCCCACCTCACTTCGGGGCGGCGGCGTTTGGAGGAAGCATCAAGCGGGAACCCCATTTCTGCTTTCAGAAGGCGATGTTGCAAGCAAGGCCAGCGGGTGCTCTCTCCATCAGCCCCGCCTTGTGGGGAGCTTGTCGCGGAACCCAGGAAGTTAAACATGGAACCGCGATTCCAGATCGGCCCCGACCCGAAAACTATCCACTTACCATCCAAGGAACCCGGTCCACTGCCATTACATGTTGTGCGGGGTCTCAACCCTGGTCGCGGCGCGCCGCGGGGCCAGTGGCCGCGGGCTCTCCGCCCCTCCGAGGCCTCGGCGCCCCCAGTCGTGGATCCCCTGGTCGATGGCGCTCGAAAGGCCTCGAGCCGAGCACGGCGCGCGTCGATCGAGGAGCCCCTCGCTGAATTTCAGCATTGGACAGAAGCGCCCAAGGCTGCAGGCATCTTGCAACAGAGTCTTAAGTCGAAAGAAGCGCCGCCGCTGGAGACGGAGGTCGACGGCGAAGCATTAATTCACCCGGCGCAGGTATCGGGTCAGAAGGCGCCGCCACTCAAGGAATTGCGGGCGCCACCGCCGCCCGACATGGGCGATGTCAGAGACATTTTCAGATTGATCAAAGACGAAGCTGAAAGGCACGCGTTGTCAGGCATCGGCATTGATCAGATTTACCAGAGCGCGGGGAAAGTGAAGGCAAAAGCTGACCTGGGAGTGGGCGTCGCGCCCATCGCGGACTACCACAGGCTCCCACGCGCAGCTTTCGTGGAGCTGGCCTTGCTGATGGGCGGCGTTGGGCGGCCGCTAGTTTGGCCGATCCAAACCTTGCCTGTGGCGGGTCGCCTCGCGGCCGAGAAGTCCACGGCGGGCAGGGCCGCCGGCGTCGTTTGAGTGCCGGGGCGCCCGTGGTCCTTGGCGAGAGAGCCGCCGGCGCGCCGGCGGTCATCCGAGGCGCCAGGCAATTCGCGCCCATAGGTGGCATGTCTGAGGGCCGTCGGCGAGGATTCGGCACATACCACGCAGATGCAGTTCGGCCTTGGACTTCTGGACGCGCTGGAGCTGTGCGCCGCAATCCCGTGCTTTCCGCTGGCCAACGCGGCTTTCGAGTTCAATATCATGCTTGTGATCTTCTGTCGCGGAGTCCCATGGCGCGCGGTGGCGCGCGCGTTGGCGCGGGAAAGTCGCAGTCGCAACGCGCTTCGAGCCGCGCGCGCGCGTCGCCCTACGCTTCCGATCAGACGCGCGCTTCGCCAACGCACACATTATTTAAGAATGCGGTGGCGGCGCCGACGTCGCAGATGTCTCGTCGAGTTCGGATTGGTGGTATTTCGCATGCCACCGTTTGTTCCACGAGAGCACGCCGACGGGAGCTCATCAAGAGCCCGATCCAGACAGGCCAAGAGTCTAAAACTATTGCCCCAAGTTGGCACAGCAACCGATGGTCTTGTGTTCAGATCGTCGAAAGGCGGCGGGGACCACCAAATCAGCTCAGATGCAAGCCCCCCCCCCCCCATCATCGCAGCCCGCGGCGTGCCCTGCGCCTGGGCGCTGACTACATTTGGGGCGCATCAGGCAGAGTGGCGCGATCGCAGAGGCAAGTGAAGCACAGGAACATGAATGAGAAAGTGAAGCGTCTATGCCTCGCCTCAAAGAGGTAGACATTGTGCGGGGTGGGGGGTTGGGGGGGGCTCGAGAAGCGCAGCGGCCAGCAAGCGGGGGCGCGGAGCTCCGAGGCGCGCGGCGTATGTCGGAGATTGATAGACTTCTTACCCTGACACTTTTTTTGATTCGCGGGTCGAGAGCGCACCTCTTCCGGTCGAAGCTGAGCGGGCCGCGCGAAGCTTGAACTAACCAGAGATGGGGGAGAAAAGGGGGGGGGGGCAGCCTCAGAACGAGGCCGGGGGGGGGGCAAAGCCTCGGAATCAGGCGGCGCCGAAGCCGACGTACTTTGCAGAGGAGCGCCTTCTCCATGAACCCGGTGGCGAAGTACCGGCCGAAGCAAAATGCTGTGCTTGGTGCTGCCGTCGACGGCTCATCATTTTGCGCCAGCCTCGAGTTGGCGGCGAGAGGTGACGCGCCTTGCAACCAAGCTGCGTCAGGGATCAGGGAGAGCGAGGAGAGCGACGCTGAGACGAAGCGCAGCGTTGTGTCATCGCACAGGTAGCAGGAGCGAGCGCCACAGGGCCGCGGTGGTTCATGGCGCCACAGGTCCAGGGTGCAGGAGCCGCAGAGACTTGAGGCGCGGCAGTCAGGACACGCCAAGAAAATGCCGCCTGTGACGACCGACAGGGCGCCGGCGCACTGGAGCAGGAGGTGGAACGGATCCGGTCCTGCAGGCCTCCTACCCTGACGTGTCGATTAGCGAATTGACCTTTTGGGTTCGCGAGAGGGCGTCGCGGCTGTCATTTTTGCGGGCCCAGGTTCGTCGGTTTCGGTCCACCGCCGATATTCGGCCAGCAGTTACTGCAGTGCCGTCGTCGCCTGGAGCGCACAGTGACTGCGGCCACTCGCGGCCGCTGCCTAACCGCCCAAACTCGAGGAAGAGCGTTAGGCATGCGTGGCCACAAAGTGTTGGAAGGTATATGGGCGAAGGAGTCCAAGGGTCAGCCGAGCGCAGTCAAGGGCGCGATCTCAGCGACCATCATCAACCTGCTCAGGACCAACCTGGGCCCGATCGAGCCAGGGGTCTGGTTGCGCGCGTCCCTGCAGGGCGCCACAGTGGAATGTGACTTTCCAGATGCGGTCTCCACGGGCCAGAAGTATGTTGGTTCACATCAGGATTCGCTGGAAGACGCGCGACGATCAGCGGATTTGCGTTCTTGCAGCAGGCGACCAAACACGGAGGCGTAGAGCATGGGTGGACAATGATTCATTCAGAGGCTTGTTGAAGCAGGTGAGCCAGCTACAGTGCGGTTCCTGATGGACTGAACTTCTCGTCGGCATCGGTGCTGGTGGCTTCTGGCCGCAAGGGCGCGATGGTGAAGCGCGTGGGTTCGACGGCTTGCGACAGGTGCATCGCCGCCCGCCAAACGACCCCAACCCAACCCGAAAGCGTCAATTTTCCCTCCGCTTCCAGCGGGGGGGGCGTCGGGGAACATTGAAAAACGCATGGAGCCCGCGCCCCCCCCAACCCGAAATTCGGATCATATTCGGGTCTTGGGGTTGGGTTTGGGTGATCGGGTAGGTAGTCAGCGAAACGCCGAGCCCGATGCGGCCATGCACGGAGCGCGGGAGCGCGAGGCCAACGCGGGAGCTGCCCCGTTCTCCGCCCCAGAGGCCTTGGTCCCAGAGGCGATGGTGCAGATCGACGTTGCGCGGTGATTCTGGCCCTTGGGCCTCATCCGCAGGAGCGGGGCGGGCCGAGGTTTCGGCGCCGCCGCAAGTCGGACAGTGGGAGTTCGCGGGCATCAGCGAGGTCTCCGGGGGCGTCTTCGGGAGCGGTTGCCAAGAGGAGCCAGTCGAGATTCTCGGGGACGCGAGCGGGGGTGAAAATAGAGCTTTCATCAAGTTTCGGAGAGTTGGTTTTGCGATTGATATTGCGTTTTCATTTTAAAAATGATTATTGTTGTCGCTCTGAATTGGGCTGTTGGCCCCCAGCTTGCAACAACGGCTCTCGCTTCATATTTCTTCGCAATTTATTCGCAAACGGCATTTTCGCGCGGGACTTCCTCACAATGTAAGCAGAAATCGCGCTTTCGCGTGGGACATCCTTGAACATGTGTTGAATCGCTTCGCTCATTCCGCCGGCCCATATTGCGCGCTGTTGTCGACTGACCGAATGGTCTTTCGCGGTGCGGAGCTGCAGGGGCGACGGCTGTTTTTTATCAGGTGCGTTCGGCAAGGTTTCTTGGTGGCCGCTGGGGGAATCTTGAACGCGTCGCGGGGCGTCTGGAAGCGTTTTGCCAATGGTTTTTTTTCGGGAGGCCTTTTGGGGACTCTTAAACGCGTCGGATCGTTGGCACTTGCTTGCGTGTTCGGGGGGGCATTTGGGGGGCCTCCTGGGGCCGTTTGGGGACCCCTTGAGGGCCTCCTGCGGGCCTGTTGGGGGCCTCTTGGGGTTTTTTTGGGGCCTCTTGGGGATTCTTAGGGGCTTTTTAGGGCCGAGGGCTCGACATGTTGTTTCGTGCTCCCCCCTTTGGGACTTCTCTGGGAGCGTTCCTGGGGCCTTGTGGGGCTGTCTTGGAGGCCTCTTGGGCCGTCTCGAAGCCCACTTGGGGGCTTCTTATCGTTCGAGACCTACTCGCGATTCATGCAGGACGCACGCTTCAGCAACCCGCCTGCTCGACCCTGTCGCCCGGGCTCGCCTTCCCGACCCGCCCGTTAAGGTCCATCTGCCCGACCTGTCCGTTAGGTTCTGCCACGTGTTTTCTGCTCTTAGCCCCCCCTCCTGCTCTCTTTCGTGTTCCATCCTCCTCCTTACCCCTTGTCCCTTCTTTCCATCCGTCCTCTCCTCCCCTGTTTCAGGGGCATCACGAAATACACGTTGCAGGTAACAAAAATACATACCCCTCAAGGGGGGAGGGCGGGTATCGAGGGTTGGGGATATATGAGTTGAATGGCACGCGAACACATCAGAAGCGAACAGTTTTTAAATGAGTGTTGTTGTTGCTACTGCTAGTCTTGTGCCAGCCATTGACATCACAGGCGTTGAGTTTAGGCCGTTTCCTGGGCCCAGGCAAATTGTGGCCCGTGGTGAGCTATTGACACTAGAGATGGCAATGTGGAGAACTGTGCGTTTCCTTAGTTTCACGACGGACTGCGAGTTGGTTGAACAAAATGACATGAAAACGTCACCGCGACCCACAAGGGAGGATGCGGGAGTGCGGCGCAACACTTGTATTTTGACGAGGGAACTGCTTCACCATGATACTTCTGTCATCTGGACCCACTCCCAAATGAGTGGGGAGGATATCTACGAAGTACGTGCAATCCGTCACCTTGTCTTGGGAAATTTGCTCGCCGACGAGTTTGCAGGGTTCGCAGCTGCTAAAAACTCGCCTCCCACAGGCCGCGAGAGCCCGAGTTCTGGTCCATGAGAGGAGGGCCTACCTTGTACGCATGCGTTTGTTGAGGGCGGCTCTGGACAGCATCAGGGCCACACATGAGGCTGAGCAGGGTGTGTTGAAGCGTGCCCGTCCCCTTTCCTCCTCCTCCTCCTCGTCCTCCTCCTCCTCCTCCTCCCCCTCCTCCTCCCCCTTCCTCCTCCTCCTCCTCCTCCTCCTCCTCCTTCCTCCTCCTCCTCCTCCTCCTCCTCCTCCTCCTCTCCTGCTCCTCCTCCTCCTCTCCTCCTGCTCTCCTCCTCCTCCTCCTCCTCCCTCCCTTCCTCGTCCTCCTCCTCCTCCTCGTCCTCCTCCTCCCCCACCTCCTCCTCCTCCTCCTCCTCCTCCTCCTCCTCTCCTCTTCCTCCTCCTCCTCCTCCTCTCCTCCTCCTCCTCCCCCACCTCCTCCTCCTCCTCCTCCTCCTCCTCCTCCTCCTCCTCCTTCGTCTGCAGTCGCTGCCTCCGCTCTTCTGTCCGGGCGCCGCCCGGCGGACTGCCAAAGGGGCGGTGCCCTCGTTATAGTGTCACCGGTGGGCCGCGCCGGCCACGGCTGGAGCGCTTCGGGCGCCAGAGCGCTCGCCATTGCTCAGCGCTGAGGGGGCAATTTTCTCGCTCACTGTGGGGGCCAGAATCCCAGACCCCCTCGCGTCGTGAAAAAATCACGGCGGGAGGTTTTTCGTTACTTTCGCCCTCTGGAGGTCCTCGCCGGGCCTCGGGACCGTCGAGAAACGAGTCGGGACGAAAAGCCGGTCCAGGGGAAAGGGTCCAGACCTCTGGGGGTCGACGTGAAAAAATCACGACGTCGGGGGTTTGGAATTCGGGTTCGGGGTCGGAGAAGATGGGGTCGGAGAAGATGGGGTCGGAGAAGATGGGGTCGGAGAAGATGGGGTCGGAGAGGATGGGGTCGGAGAAGGTAGGGTCTGTTTCAACGTTGATCTAGAGACGGGTTCGGAGAAGATGGGGTCGGAGATTCGCGCCGCATCGCCGACGCATCGGCGATGCGGCCCGATGCGGAGCCCGATTTTCTCCGCGCCGGCGTCGCCGACGCATCGCCGATGCATCGGCGATGCATGGGTGATGCGGCGCGATGTTTCGACCCCATCTTCTCCGACCCCGTCGAGGAGGCTTCCAGTTGAAGGGGCCAGTTTCTCGCCCACTATAGGAAGCTAAAGTTCACACAACTGGGGGACTGGGCTCACACAGCGCACACCTTGAGTGTTTACCCAGGCCGGCAGGTTTGGTCCTGTACTGTAGTGTTATGTCGGGCCTGTCCCTCCACAGGGAGGATATTCAAAAATAGTCAACAAAATAGTCTGGGGATTATTTTTTGAGTATTTGGGGGCTTCTTTTTCGTATTTTTCGTGTATTTTTGATTTTTCGTCTAAAAGCCCCCTGTAGGGGGACAGGCCCGACCTAGCCGTAGTGTTTGCGGGAATATCGCGGATAAGGTTCTGCGATCTTCGCATGCCCCGTGTGTATGTAGATTGTCCAAGCATGGCAGCGAATGCTTTGGCAGGATTGCTAGGGGGTTACAGCCCAAAGACCTGAGCCGAGCCGAGCAATCGTCTCGTCGCTCGAGTCGCTAAGCCTAATTATGATAAAGGCCATTTGCTTCCGCAAAGGGGTCCGCTCCATTCAACTCCACTCCACTCCCTCCCTTGAACTCTCCCCCCTCCCCCTGCCCCCCCCGCGCCCCTCCGGCTCTTGCCCTCCCCTCCCCTCCCCTCTCTACCCCCGTCTCCCCGTCCCCCCTCCTCCCCTTATCTTCCTCCGCCCCCCTCCCTCCCCCCGCCCCCCCCCGCCCCCGCCCCCCCCCCCCCGCCGCAGGTACGGCTTCCCCGAGGCCGAGCACAGCCGAGCCGCCGCGGACCTGCAGGGCGCGGTGGAGGCCAAGACCCCACCGGAGCTCCTGGCTCCCTTCCTGGCCAACCTCCTCCCCCCTCCTCCTCCTGCTCCTCCTCCTCCTCCTGCTCTTCCTCCTCCTCCTCCTCCTCCTCCTCCTCCTCCTCCCCCTTCCTCCTCCTCCCCCTCCTCCTCCTGCTCCTCCTCCTCCTGCTTTTCCTCCTCCTTTTCCTCCTCCTCCTTGTCCTCCTCCTCCTTTTCCTCTGAAGGCAATCTCGGCCGTCTTGGAGACCGTCTTGAGCGTCTTGGAGGCCTCTGGAACCGTCTTGGCGCCCTCTTGGGGCCGTCTTGGGGGCCTCTTGGGCCGTCATAGGGGTATTTTGGAGGCCTCTTGGGGCTGGGGGCGATCTTTCTGGCTCCTTGGGCCCTCGTGAGCCGTCGGAAGGCTCGAAACTAACAAAAGCCAAAATCCTTCAACCGCCTAAGGAAAACATTGATTTTGATCTCTTCGGGCTCTCGTGGACGACCTCTTGGAGGCCTCTTGGGCCGTCTTCGAGGCCTCTTGGAGGCCTTTTGGGCCGTCTTGGGCCGTCTGAGAGGTTTCGTGTGCGAACTTGGAGGCACCTTGGACTCTCCTGGGTCGCCTTGGAGGTCATCTTGGATCATCTTGGGCGAACCTGGAGGCATCTTGGGCCATTTTGGCCATCTTGGAAGCCATCTTGGAGCCATCTGGAGCAGGAACAACTTTTGGAACCAACCTTTCTGGGCCATTCCGGAACCCCGGCGGGCGGTGCCGGAACCCCACGGGGGAGTTCTTTGGGAAAAAGAGCCAAAACCAAAAGGAAAAGGACTCAGCACGCCGGGCACCCTCATGATGAATCAACAGGGGGCGGCGGATCGAAGACGCCTACGGCGAATCACCGCCGCCCCCTGCCTTTTTGGAAGCGCCTGCGTGGCCGAAAGTTGGGTTTGAGCTTGGCCAAGCTATCGGGCCACGCGTTCCACGAGTGGGTTTCGAAAGCCTTCGGGGACCACGGCGTCGGGCGAGCTATCGGACCAGGTGGTTTCCGAGCTTTCGGGCCTCCTGGAGGACGTCTTGGATGGGTCTTTGGCCGTCTTGGAGGCCTCTGGCGGGCCTTTTGGGCAGTCCAAGGGCATCTTCAAGCCATTTGGGGCCGTTTTGGGTGCATCTTGGGGCCATCTTCGCCGTCTTGGAGGCATCTTGGAGGCCATCTTGGCCGTCTTGGAGGCCATCTTGGGCGTGTTGGGGGCCTCTTAGGCGCTCTTGGGGCCCTCTTGGGGGCCTCTTGGGCTGTCATGGGGCCATCTTGGAGGCCTCTTGGGCGCTCTTGGGGCGATGCGGGGGGCCTCTTGGGCCGTCTTGGGCCGTCGGAGAGGTGAAAAGGAGCAAAAGCCACAATCCTTGAAACACCCGAGGCAATTCGATGATTTTGACCCTTTCGGGCCTTCCTGGAGGACGTCTTGGAGGGTGGAGGGCTCTTGAGCCGTCTTGGAGGCCTCTTGCGGGCCTATAGGGCCGTCTTAGACCATCTTGACGCCATTTTGGGCCGTCTTGGGTGCATCTTCGGGCCATCTTAGCCGTCTTGACGGCCATCTTGGCCGTCTTCGAGGCATCTTGGAGGCAATCTTGGCCGTCTTGGAGGCTATCTTGGGCGTCTTGGTGGCCTCTTGGGCCGTCTTGGGGCCTTCTTGGGGCCCTCTTGGGGGCCTCTTGGGCTGTCATGGGGCCATCTTGGAGGCCTCTTGGGCGCTCTTGGGGCGATGCGGGGGGCCTCTTGAGCCGTCTTGGGCGGTCGGAGAGCTGAAAAGGAGCAAAAGCCAAAGTCCTTCTAACACCTAAGGGAAATCAATGATTTAAACCCTGTCGGGCCTTCCTGGAGGACGTCTTGGAGGGCTCTTGGGCCGTCTTGGAGGCCTCTTGCGGGCCTATAGGGCCGTCTTGAGGCCATCTTGGGCCGTCTTGGGTGCATCTTGGGGCCATCTTGGCCGAAAAGGAGCAAAAGCCAAAATCCTTCAAACATCTAGGGAAACTCCCATGATTTTGACCCTTTGGAACCGTTCTGGAGGAGCTCTTAGAGGCCTCTTGGGGATCTCTTGGGCAGTCTTAGGCCCTTAGAGTCATCTGGGGCCGTCTTGGAGGCTTCTTGGACGAACTTGAAGGCATCTTGGACTCTCTTGGGCTGTCTTGGAGGACAACTTAGACCATCCTGGAGGCCATCTAGGGGGCCATCTTGGACCAACCTGACCATCTTAGAGGCCATCTTGAAGCGTCTTGAATTTGTTTTGTGGACGTTGGGGTTGTTTGCGGTGGTTTTCGGGTGGCGGGCGGGACGGGCCGAAGCCCCAGGGGGAGATCTTTCGGAAAAAGGGCCAAAAACAAACGCGAAAGGACTCAGCACGCCAGGCACCCTCATGATGAATCAACAGGGGGCGGCGGATCGAAGACGCCTACGGCGAATCACCGCCGCCCCCTACCTTTTTGGAAGCGCCTACGTGGCCGAACGTTGAGGCCAGATCTGCCAAGCTATCGGACCATGTGTTCTCCGAATCGGTTTGGAAAGCCTTCGGGGAACACGTGGGCATCTTGAAGGTCATCGGCCTCTTGGGCGATCTTTGGGGGCACTTGGGCCGTCTCGGGCCGTTGGAAGGCCGAAATAACGCAAATGCCACAATCCTTCAACAACTCATGGGAAATCAATGATTTTGGCCTTTTTTCGGGCCTTCCTGGAGGCCCTCTTGGAAGCCTCTTGGGCGGTCTTGGGCCATCTTAGGGCCATCGTCGGCCGTCTTGGTGGGCTCCTGGCCCGTCCGACGCCGTCGGAAGCCGTTTGGGGGGCCTCTCTGGGCCGTCTTGGAGGCCATCTTGGGCGCCTTAAAAGCCTCCTGGGCCGTCTTGGGGGCCTCTTGGGGCCTCTTGGGGGCCTCTTGACCGTTCTGATGCCCTCTTGGATGCCTCTTGAGCCGTCGGAAGGCCGAGAAGAAGCAAATTCCAACATCCTTCAAAAACCTAAGGACAATCAATGATTTTGGCCTCTTCGTGCCCTCCTGGAGGACCTCTTGCAGGCCTCTTGGGCCGTATTGGAGGCCTCTGGGGGGCCTCTTGGGCTGTCTTGGGCCGTCTTGGACTCTCTTGGGCCGTCTTGGAGGCCGTCTTGGACCATCTTGGGCGGACTTAGAGGCCATCTTGGGCCATCTTCGCGATGTTTTGAGGATGTCCCGAGCGAAACGGCTGTTTTTTGGAGGATGTTTTGTGCACGTTTGCGATTGTTTGAGGATGTCCCGAGCGAAACGGCTGTTTTTGGGAGGATGTTTTGTGCACGTTGCGATTTTTTGAGGATGTCCCGAGCGAGCGGCACGGTGGCGGGACGGGCCGAAACCCATTGGGAGAGTTCTTTTGGAAAAAAATCCAAAAGCAAAACCGAGAGGTCCAGCACGCCAGGCACCCCTGCAATGAATCGACAGGGGGCGGCGGATCTAAGACGCCTACAGCGAATCACCGCCGCCCCCTGTCTTTTTGGAAGCGCCTATGTGGCCGAACGTTGAGGCCAGACCTCCCAAGCTATCGGACCATGTGTTCCCCGAATCGGTTTGGAAAGCCTTTGGGGAACAAGTGGGCATCTTGAAGGTCATCTTGGCCGTCTGGAGGCCATTTTGACCCTTTCGGGCCTTCTTGGAGGACGTCTTGGAGGGCTCTTGGGGCCATCTTGAGCGTCTTGGAAACCTCTTGGGCCGTCTTGGGGGCCTCTTGGGGCCGTGTCTGGGGGGCACTTGGGCCGTCTCGGGCCGTCGGAAGGCAGAAAAAACGCAAACGCCACAATCCTTCAAAAACCCAGAGGAAATCAATGAGTTTGGCCTTTTCTGGCCTTCCTGGAGGCCCTCTTGGATGCCTCTTGGGCCGTCTTGGGCCATCTTAGGGCCATGTTCGGCCGTCTTGGTGGGCTCCTGGTCCGTCTGACGCCGTCGGAAGCTGTTTAGGGGGCCTTTCTGGGCCGACTTGGGGGCCCCAGGGCCGTCTTGGAGGCCATCGTGGGCGTCTTACAGGCCTCCTGTGCCGTCTTGGGGGCCTCTTGGGACCGTCTTGGGGCCCTCTTGGGCCGTTCTGGGGCCATCTTGGAGGCCTCTTGGGCGATCTTTCGGCGATCTTTGGGGCTCTTCGGCCGTCTCGGGCCGTCGGAAGGCCGAAAAGAAGGAAATGTCAAAATCCGTCAAAAACCTTAGGAACATCAAGGTTTTTGGCCTCTTCTGGCCTTCGCTTTCTTGGGGGCCTCTTGGGCCAGCTTCGAGCCAACTTCGAGCCAACTTCGGCCATCTTGGTGGCATCTTGGTGGGTTCCTGGCACGTCTGACGCCGTCGGGGGCCGTCTTGGGGGCCTTTCTGGGCCGACTGGGGGCCCTCTTGGGGCGCTTCGGGGCCGTCTTGGAGTCTTGGAGGCCATCTTGGGCGTCTTGGAGGCCATCTTGGGCGTGTTGGAGGCCATCTCGGGCCGTCTTGGGGCCCTCTTGGGGCCGTCTTGGAGGCCACTTGGGCCGTGATGGGGCCCTCTTGGAGGCCTTTTGGGCAACCTTTGGGGCCTCTTGTGCCGTCTTGAGCCGTCGGAATGCCGAGAAGAGGCAAATACCAAAATCCTTCAAAAACCGCAGGAAAATAAATGATTGTGGCCTCTTCGGGCCTTCCTGGAGGACCTCTTGGAGGCCTCTTGGGCCGTCTTGGAGACCTCTTGGGAGCCTCTTGGGCCGTTTTGGGCCATCTTGACTCCATCTGAGGCCGTCTTGGGTGCATCTTGGGCCGTCTTGGAGGCATCTTGGGGCCATCTGAGCCGTCTTGGAGGCCATCTTGGCCGTCTGGGAGGCCATCTCGAGCCATCTTGGAGGATTTGTTGCGGTCGTTGAGCTCGTTTCCGGGCCTTCCGCGGCCCCGGCGGGACGCGCCAGAGCCCACTGGGAGAGTTCTTTTGGAAAAAGAACCAAAACCAAAACCGATAGGGTTTGGCACGCCGGGCACCCCTTTGCTGAAGCAAAAGGGGGC